GCTCGTTAAAGCTCCTCCAACTAAAAGCGCGTGCACCCTCAGATCTGTCAGGTAAAATTTCCAGCATGTCTGCCACGCCGGAAACCTCTGCCCCTCGTAGTGTTAGGAACGTGACTCAGGAGGAGTTTGACGAGTTGCAAGCCAGGGCGTCTACAGTGACGACACTGTAGGCCTAGCTTCAACAACTCGTCGATAAGTTCGAGTCGCTAGGAAGCGAAGTTCAGACGCTGCGCAACGAAAACTCGTCGCTTCGCTAGACGCGGGGTGAAACGCGTCAGGGGCGGCCTGTTACCTGAGACGAAGATGCTGCGAGTGAAGCGAGGGCATTGGCGACACCTGAAGCAGTTGAAGAAGTCCACAGCGAGCCGCGGGCGGCCATTAAAATCAAACCACCGATGCCTCCGCCGTTCAACCCGACCGACAGGATAACTACAGTGAGCGGGTGGCTGTTCGCCATGGAAATCTTCTTCACGGCAGCAAGTATTAATGACAACGCATCACGTGTCAACTTGGCTGTGTCGCTGCTGAGGGGACCGGCACTCGACTGGTGGCGCATGCATCTAGACGAGGGAGGAGCCCTGGTAGGGAATCAACGGGCGGTAGATGGGGAGCTGAGTTCATCAACGGCGAAGGCGGAACCAATCTTTGAGTCGGCCACAATCCGCACGTGGAAAGCGTGGGGTGAAGCGTTGAAGGGAAGATTTGAGCACATATCGATGCGCAAAAATGCTCGCACAAAGCTTCGAATGTGGAGATAGTTGGGCTCTGTCCAAGAATACATGGCGTCGTTTCAGACAATCTGCGACCAAATCGGAGGGCTTAGCGAAGACGAGCGTATCGATCGCTACGTGGGTGGTCTCAAACCGGAGATTCAGCAAGAGATCGTCCTGCGAGCCCCGGCGACCTTCAATGAAATAGTTCGCATAGCAGACGCACTGGACGCATGACGTGGACTCGCGAGAGCGGGTTTCCGGGAGGGAAATTGCTTTCGAGGCCAGCCCCAACACACATCAATCAACGGCGTGGACGTGTTTGCAGCCCGAGTATTTTCGGGAACCTGCTTCCACTGCAACCAGCCGGGTCATTTAGTGAGGGACTGCCCGCAGCTGAAGAAGAACTTACCTAACGACAAGAAGCAGTAGGGGAATTGAGATCGTTAGTATCAGATGGGCCACCTACTGACTTGACTTCGTCGCCCAAACGCCACCACCCCGACCAGGTTTTTAGTGTCGATTTGGGCTATCGACCATTCCTGACTGAATAAGGGGGGTGAACCGGTTGATCGCCCTGTGCTGGTTGAAGGGAGTGTTGGTGACACCCGCATCAAAATATTCATTGATGGCGGGGCGAGCCACAGTTTGATGGATGTGACGAAGGCGAAAAAATTGCGATTGCAGCTGGAGCGCTGCATGCCGAGATCGACGCGCGAGTGGTTGACGGCAAACCACTGGCAATTCGGGGGCGAGTACCTCACGTGCGAGTAATATGCGGTGAAAAAATCAGTTTCACGACGAAGATGCTGGCGACAACTTTGGACGGCTGCGACATGCTAGTGGGACACGATTGGCTGCACGAATACAACCCGAGCATCGACTGGTGCATGGGCGATTGTCGCATCAAATGGAGTGGCGAGTGGCGACGACTACCCAAGTGGAGCTGTCAAGATTCGACCACATCGACGGTCAGCGCAGTGACGATCAAGTGCACCATGATCGAGGGGGGCAACTGTACGTCGTCTGATGGATCGCCTCAACGACTGTCGACACGCTGACTGACATTGACAAACTCTGCGCACCTGTCCCGGATGACTTGGCGATGGTGATTCGGAAACACGCCGACATTTTTCCAGACGACCTACCGGTGGGTTTGCCACCTGAGCGAGAACACGACCACAACATCGAGCTGGAGCCTGGCGCGTAGCCTACCGTTCGGACTCAATGGCGGCTGACTCAGCCCGAGCTGGATGAACTTCGATGACAGCTGGACTACCTGCTCGAGGAAGGTTTCGTTCGCCCCAGCACTTCACCGTTCGCAACTCCAATCCTGTTCACCCCGAAGAAAGATGGCGGTCTACGAATGTGTATTGACTACCGTGCCTTGAACCGGGTTACCATCAAGTCTCACTATCCTATCCCGCACGCCGACGAACTCATCGACCAACTTCGCGGAGCCAAATTCTTCTCGAAGATTGACCTGCGAGGCGGTTACCACCAAATTCGCTTAAACAAAGCTGACTGCTACAAGACGGCGTTTCGGACCCGGTACGGGAGTTACGAGTACACGGTTATGCCTTTTGGCTTAACAAATGCGCCTTGGACATTCCAGTTAACCATGAACGAGGTTTTTTGGTTACAGCTGGATAAATGCGTGATCGTGTACCTTGACGACACACTGGTCTACAGCACTACCCGGGAGCAGCATTTGAAGGATTTGACAGCAGTTTTCTCCCTATTGCAGCAGCACCGACTCATCACCAAGGGCTCTAAGTGCGAGATTCTAAAACACAAACTCGAGTTTTTGGGCCATGTAATTTCCACCGACGGCGTTATAATCAACCCCAAGAAAATTGCGACGATACAAGACTGGAAGCCGCCAGCTAATCTCCGCAAACTTCAGAGTTTTCTGGGGTTTGTCAATTACGTCCGCCGTTTCATTCCGAACATGGCGGGGGTAACTTCTCCTCTCACGGATCTCCTGAAGAAGGGCAAGTTTTATGAGTGGGGGGGAGAGCAGCAGGTTGCGTTCGAACAGCTCAAACTTTTCCTGACTACACATCCGGTTCTTCGGATTGCAGATCCTCACCATCCATTCGAGCTCATCACCGACGCTAGCAATTTGGCCGTTGGCGCAGTCCTGTTACAAGACTTCGGCGAAGGCCTACAAGCGATCGCCTACGAGTCACGAAAGCTGAACCCGGCCGAGCGAAATTATCCTGTCCACGACAAGGAGTTACTCGCCATCGTTTACGCATTCAAAGTCTGGCGCTGCTACCTGACAGGCACTGACATGACTGTCCGAACAAACCACAAGTCTCTACAGTTCATCCGTGCCCAACCGACACTGAATCCCCGACAGATTCGCTGGCTCGATTACCTCGAGTCCAACTTCCACTACAGAGTCACCTATAAACGGGGGGTTAGCAACATCGCCAACGCACTAATCCGCCCTTCAGTCCACACCGCTGCAGTCCTAATTACCCAAGCTAATCCACTGCTAACTGGCCTATTCACCCACGGATACAGTACTGACCCATTCTTCACCACTAACGGTCAAGCAAGAGGCCTATTACCTAAAATCCGGTACCAATCAGATTTGGGTTCTCGCCTATCGTACCCTATGGAATTACTAATCCAGGAGGCACATGACTCGAAGGTCTCAGGTCACTACGGCATCGACAAAACCGCCAAATTACTGAGCCATAATTATTACTGGCCCGACCTGCCGACAGACGTGCAGCAGTACGTCACCTTTCTGCGCCACGTGTCAACGCATGAAATCTTCACGACTTCGACCTGCGGGATTGCTGCAGCCGCTAGAGGCACCCAGCCAACCCTGGCAACAAGTGACGATGGATTTCGTCACTGGCCTGCCAGCTCGTCCAAGCGGTAACGACGCGATTCTCGTCGTCGTTGACCGATTGACCAAGATGGCCCACTTCGCTGCCTACAAGACGATGATTACTGCCGAGCAGATAGCGAAACTGTTCCTCACGAACATCGTGCGGCTATACGTCATCCCCTCGGCAATCATCAGCGATCGTAACCCATGGTTCACGTCCAACTTCTAGACAAAAACCTGGCAGCAGTACGGCAGACGTCTGCATTTGTCCATGGTGTACCACCTGTAATCGGACGGTCAGACTAAGCGCACCAATTAGACGATGGAGCAGCTGATTCGCACAACGTGCACAGACCCAGCTCAATGGGAAGACATCCTTCCTTTGATCGAGTTTGCGTACAACAACGCCCCATCGGCCATGACTACTCAGTCCCCGTTCTTCCTTAATTACGGGATAGATCCGACAACCCCTCTATCGCCCTCGATAGAAAATCCGGCACCAAGATCGCAGCAGTTCGTTGAAAATCTCCGACAGTCTCAGCAAAAAGCCGCTGATGCCATCCTCAAAGCCAACCAGAGGGCTAAGCAGCAAGCTGATCGACAACACCGAGACTTAACACTTGCCCCTGGGCAATTGGTCTTGCTCGACACCAGAAATTTGGGAATTCCCCTCCCAAATAAATCACGACCAAGATTTTGCGGCCCATTCCGCATCATCCGCATGGTGACACCAGTCACCACACAGCTGCAAATGCCGAGTGACTGGCGAATTCATGATTCATTTCATGTCAGTCTCCTGCGATCGTTTGTCCCGAGTACGACTAATCTCGACCGTCAAGACATCAATCCCACGGTCAACCCAGTACTCGAGCCAACGATCGAGCCGTCCAAGATTCTCGCTCATCGCGTACGAGGCACCGAGATACAGCAGCCATTGATTTCCTTGTACGATGGATCGATCGCACAACTGCCGACGATCTTTGGGTCCCCGCAGCTATGCTCGGCGAACACAAAGTCGTCCGGGACTATTTACACCAACGACGTGTCCCGGATGTGGGTAGTCTCATCCCGGAAGGGGGGGTGGTGTAAGGAAATTCCCTTTTCCTTACTGGGCTCGACTACAGCGTGTACGCCCTCGACTCTCGGAAGTCCAGGCTCGGCCAACTTCTTCGGTCCCGAATCATTTCACGAACCCAAACCTCGACACGCAGCGCTTCCGTGGCTTTTGCCAACCGGACTGCCCCAACCTGGTCGCGTGGTTCTCGGCTAGCTCTGTTCGTGCCTATAAATGCCTAGGCCCTCATTTGTATTGACACTCTTGAATCACGACTCCTTTATTTCACTACCTGTTATTACTCTTATTAATTCATAACAGCAATTCAAGAGTCTTGTTACTTCGTAGAGCCTATCAGCTTACATCAGTAACTTAGGGGCGACTTTCGGGCCAACGTTAGTGCGACTTTTGAGTCAACGCAGAAGTCTACCTATTCTTGGCTTTATGTACCTTTCGGCGTCCGTGTGTTTGACGGCTAACCGCTTTCAGAAGGATTCTGTCAAGTAACATAGCCAACAGGCATTGCGCGGCGATCTTTTTCTTTCATGAACCTATCGGCGTCCGTGTGCTCCGCGGCTAAGCGTATCCAGAAGGAGCTCGCGGACATCAGCGCGGAGCCTGATTGCTTCTTCTAGCGACCAGGGACACACGGCGAAAATCGTCATTTCATGAGCCTATCGGCGTCCGTGTGCTCGGCGGCTAAGCGCATCCAGAAGGAGCTCGCGGACATCAGCGCGGAGCCCGCGCCGGACTGCTGGGCGGGGCCCAAAGGCGACAACCTCTTCCAGTGGGTCGCTACAGTGTTCGGCCCGAAAGGTGCGTGCTTGCCCTGTGACGTCAGCCCTGTGTCCGATTAGTTTGGTTTGAGGTTCCTCTGAAACCCCAAAGGCGACAACCTCCTCTCCAGTGCGTCGCCACGCCACCGTGCTCGCCCCGCAAGTTCCGCACTTGAGACTGTAATGTAACACACTTTCACGTATGCATGTGTCGCACAAGCCTGGTAATCACGTTCGTGCGACACAGGGCGAACGTCAGGGGCTGGCTGGCATTGGGCTGGTGGGGCCGAAAGGTGGCAACCCCTTCCATTGGGTCACTACAGTGCTCGGCCCGCAAGGTGCGTGCATTGACTGACCTGTAAGACTGACTTGATTCCATTGACTTGTGACGTTGGTTGTGTCCGCTTTGATTTCTTTCCCCCACCCTCCCCCCCATACCCTCCCCCCCCCTCCCTCCCTTACCCTCCCCCCCTTCCCCCCCTTACCCTCCCCTCCCTTCCCCCACCTTACCCTCCCCTCCTTCCCCCCTTACCCTCCCCTCCCTCCCTCCCTCCATCCCCCCCTCCCTCCCTCTTCTCCCTCTCTCCCTTTCCCCTCTCAGACTCACCTTATCGTGGGGGAGTGTTCTTCCTCGATATCGCCTTCCCCCAGGACTACCCCTTCAGGCCGCCACAGGTGTGTAAGCAGTGCTTGAGGCATCTTGAAGCAAAATGTGCAGGGCCAATGGCTGTAACCATGCTCTGCTTGCTTAGCTGCCCATGCCCCACTTCCCTCCTCCATTCCCCCACACCAACCCTCTCCCCTCTCCTCCACCTCCCCCACCCCCGACACCCCTCACCCGCCCGCCCGCCCCCTTGCATTTATTCAGGTGTGCTTCCGCACGCGCGTGTACCACTGCAACGTGTGCAGCGCCAGTGGGCGCATTCGGCTGCATCTGCTGGAGGATGGGTGGAGCCCTGCCATGACCGTGGGCCGCGTGCTGCAAGCCGTCATCCACCTGCTCCGCTTCCCCGTGCCAGGTGAGACGGTTATTCATGGCACGGGGTTTAGAGCCATATCGTGCCACCTGGATGGGTGGACCCCTGCCATGGCCGTTGCCTTGCCTGAGTGCTGCAAGCAAGCCATCATCCACCTGCTCAGGTTCCCCCTGCCAGGTGAGATGCTTTCCTTGGCATGAGGTTTGATGTCATGGGGTTTAATGTCATGGGGTTTAGAGTCAGGGGGGTTAATGTCATGGGGTTTAATGTCATGAGATTTAATTCATGGGGTTTAGAGTCATGGGGTTTAATGTCATGGGGTTTAGAGTCATGGGGTTTAGCGTCACACCATCTAAGGTGTATGGATGGGTGGGTGGAGCCCTGCCATGACCGTTGCCAGAGGGCTGCAGGCCATCATCCATCCACCTGCTCCGGTTCCCCGCGTCACGTGAATTGCCTCCCTCTGGGAATTTAGGCTCATCACGTCTTGTCTCATGTTGATGGGTGAAGCCTTGCCTTGCCGTGACCGTGGCGCAGCGGGTGCTGCAAGCAAGCCACCATCCACCTGCTCCGGTTCCCTGTGCCTGCCAGGTGCGGTGCGGTGCGATGCTGGCTGCTGCTGCAGCCTTCAAGCTGTTATCCGCTGGCTGGGATTTCCCAGTTGCTACAAAAGCATGGAATGTAGCTCTGTGCTGTGGCATGGTGGCATGGTGGCATGGTGGCATGGTGGCATGGTGGCATGGTGGCATGGCATGGTGGCATGGTGGTGTGTGATGCGATGCGATGCGATGCTCTCTCTCACTCCCCCCCACCATCTCTCTCATACCTTCCCCTCCCTCTCCCCCAGAGGAAGCGCTGGTGGGGTGCATAGCGCATCGCTTTGTTTTTGACCGCCCCTCACACGACCGCATAGCTGCTGATTGGACGAGGCGGTTCGCCACCTGATGCTTCCGCCGCGCGTAGCAAAGCTCGAAAATCAGCAGCGTGCCAAGGAAGGAGAACTCTGTTTGGGAGAACTCTGTTTGGGAGAACTCTGTTTGGGAGAACTCTGTTTGGGAGAACTCTGTTTGGGAGAACTCTGTTTGGGAGAACTCTGTTTGGGAGAACTCTGTTTGGGAGAACTCTGTTTGGGAGAACTCTGTTTGGGAGAACTCTGTTTGGGAGAACTCTGTTTGGGAGAACTCTGTTTGGGAGAACTCTGTTTGGGAGAACTCTGTTTGGGTGTTACCGCTGCTGTAGAGCTGTGCCTGAAGTGATCACTGTGGTGTCGAGAGGGTGGTGGTACAACACAGCCGCAGCTGCAGCACACTCATACTGCCTCAGCCATGCTCCCCATACTCGCACATCCTCCAGTCTGGCCTCAACCCATTCCTGCCCCGTCTTCTCCATGCCACCTTGCAAAGAGGAGCCGCACGGCCCGCACCCATAGGGCACGCGCAGGAGCAGGTGATTCTGGCAAATGCCAGGGGAAGCCTCACCAGTCGGCTGTGTCCACGGAAGCATCCCCACCGTCAGCAGCAGCAGCATCAACGGCTATCAAGCCCCCTCAAGAACCATCACCGGAGGGGCTGGCGGTTGGGAGGAGGGGGATGGTTCTGGGCGCATCCCTTGCTGCGTCCGGGCTGGTTGGAGGGTCGCTGGTGGGGGTGGAAGGGGGTGCAGAGTGGTGGAGAGCGGTGGGAGTGGGCGCTGCCTGGGGTGTGGAGGCTCGGCAGTTTGGCGATGCCAAGAGCGTGGAGATTCGACAAATGAAGGAGAACTTCGGGGTGAGATTTGTGTATCTTGGTTGAACTTTCTGGTGTTTGAGGCCCGTCTAAGTCTGGTGATGCCAAGAGCGTGGAGATTCGACGACTGGAAGATGTCTTGGGCTGGGGTGGTGAGACATGGCTTTACAGGCCATTTTGATAAACCTGTTTTCACGCACCATTACATGGACAAGCTTGCTGTACAGTGAGAGACATCTCCGATGTGCATGTCAGCATGTGGTATGCCATCGCTGGAAGGTTCTTCTGCCGACCGAATCGTAGTGCGCCTTGAAACTGTAGGTCAGTCATGGCCCCATGGCTCACTCACCCGTGCACTGGAGGGGGTGGTGCCGTGCGGTGCAATGCTCCTCACCCCTGCCACCCCTGCCAGCTCACCCCAGCCAGCTCACCCCAGCCAGCTCACCCCAGCCAGCTCACCCCTGCCAGCTCACCCCTGCCAGCTCACCCCTGCCAGCTCACCCCTTCCCGCCCACCCGTGAGAACTCACCCCTGCCGGCTCACCCTTTCCGTGGCAGGCAGTGCTGCTAAACGTGGCAGAGAAGGTGTTGAAGGAGCTGGGAGCAGAGACGGGCGCAGAGTACCAGAGAGAGGTGAGGCGGAGCGGATTGGGAGGCCACAGGTGGGCGCTACTCTCTCCCCATCCCCCCTCTCTCCCCGTCCCCCCTCACTCCCCCGCGGCTTTGCGGCTTCCCCAGGTGCTTCTAATGAATACAGCAGAGGAGGTGATCAACGAGCTGGGGATGAAGACCGGTGCTGACTACAAGAAAGAGGTGCGTGCGTGTAACCTGGCATCAGGAGGGTCCGTCGTTTGCAGTTGTAGTGAGGTGAGGGCTCTCAGGCGATTTTAGTGCCTGTGGTGCCTGAGGTGCCTGTCGTGGCTGAGGTGATATCCGCGCTGGGGATGAAGACCGGTGCTGACTACAAGAAGGAGGTGGGTGTTTGTTTATGGTGTCATGTAGCAGCGGGGGTGGTTTGGGGGGGGGGATGGGTCTCTCGTTTCTTCTCTCTGTTCTCAATCACGGTCTCACCACTCCCTCTCCACCTTTCCTTCTCATCTGTCGGACCACCCCCTCCCTAACCCCTACCCTGCCCAGCTTTTCCTCTCCAGTTCTTTCGTCTGCAGCACCAGGAGTGCCAGCAGGAGTTCTGGTTATTTAAGGAGGCCAGCTTTGGGTGCTCAGCACCATCCCTTGCGTTCTGACTTTTGAGTCGACTCAAAAGTCAGCTTTGGGTGCTCAGCACCATCCCTTGCGTTCTGACTTTTGAGTCGACTCAAAAGTCAGCTTTGGGTGCTCAGCACCATCCCTTGCGTTCTGACTTTTGAGTCGACTCAAAAGTCAGCTTTGGGTGCTCAGCACCATCCCTTGCGTTCTGACTTTTGAGTCGACTCAAAAGTCAGCTTTGGGTGCTCAGCACCATCCCTTGCGTTCTGACTTTTGAGTCGACTCAAAAGTCAGCTTTGGGTGCTCAGCACCATCCCTTGCGTTCTGACTTTTGAGTCGACTCAAAAGTCAGCTTTGGGTGCTCAGCACCATCCCTTGCGTTCTGACTTTTGAGTCGACTCAAAAGTCAGCTTTGGGTGCTCAGCACCATCCCTTGCGTTCTGACTTTTGAGTCGACTCAAAAGTCAGCTTTGGGTGCTCAGCACCATCCCTTGCGTTCCGCCTCTTCCCGATCCCTGCCTCCCCCACCCCCAACCCCTTTGCCCCTTGGCCAGTTCTTTTGGCTGCGCCAGCAGGAGTTCCGGCTGCTCAAGAAGGCCACCTTTGGGCCTTTGGCGGCATTTCTTCTGCTTTGCCTCTTCTCAAACCCCTCCTCCTCTTTTCCCCACCTTTCGCTTCCCCCCCCCCCTTTGCTCCTCTTACCTCTCCCCTTCCTTGCCAGTTCTTTCGGCTGCGGCAGCAGGAGTTCCAGCCGCTCAAGAAGGCCAACTTCGGAGGGCTGGCGTCGCTAGGGTGAGGCAGGGGCGTGGGCGGGGAGGTGTGGGCGGGGGGGTGTGGGCGGGGGGGTGCGGGCGGGGGGGTGCGGGCGGGGGGTGCGGGTAGGGCGCGGGTAGGGCGGGGCAGGGGGGGGGGCGTGGGGGAGGCGCAGGTGGGGGGTACAGGGGGGGTGGCTGTTGGTGGGGCTTGGACAGGATGGGCTTGCGAGGCACTTTGGAACTATATAGGGGGGTGGGGTGGGATGGATGGATAGCAGGGGGGGGGGGGGGGGGAATAGGGGGAAGGGTGGAGGAGGGGTGTTGGGGACTTTTGAGTCGCCTGAGAGGTCTGCACGTTCATGCCCCTTCCCACCAATTTACTGGCCTCCATGCATGCACTCCCATGCATGCATGTGCGCTTTCGAGGCACCTCAAGCGCAACACTTAACACGTGCCTGTGCGGCTCATGTGATAGTAATTTCGCTTTTGAGTCGACTCAAAACGAAATTGACGCACCCCTAACGCATCGCTTGACATGCATGTGCATGGCTCCCCTCCCCATGTATGGGCAGGCAAAGCTTCACAGTGAACGATGTGCCCTACTTCAACTTCCAGTCGTACATCCAGGTGAGCTGCGCCCAGGTGGGTTACATCCAGGTGAGCTGCGCCCAGGTGGGTTACATCCAGGTGACTTACATTCAGGTGAGTTACATCCAGGTGAGTTACATAACTACATTCAGGCGAGTCACATCCACGTGAGCTGCACCCAGGTGGGTTACCTCCAGGTGATTAAAGTTGACCCTTCAGGTGATTTCCGGGTGCCCGAAACAACAGCTGGTAGATGTGTACTAATGACACGCACGCGTGCCTCATTTGAGACAGGTGATTCCCGGGTGCCCGAAACAACAGCTGGTAGAGCATGTATACACTCACGCATGCGGCATGCCTCACTTGAGTAAGCCTCCAGTGCAGAAAATTGCACCGTGCGAGGTATGATGTTCGTCATGTGTCCTCTCGTGCCTCACTTTCCCTTCTTACTCACTCTCTCCCTCTCCCTCTCTCTCCCTCCCCTCCTCCTCAGTCCGTCCACCCGCACGCTCTTCTTCCCCACTCTCTTCCCGGCACCATCAGTCGACACAAAGCTCATCGCACGTCTTCTGCTCGTCGTCTCCCAACAATGTGCATCGTATCTCCTTCTCTCCCTCCCCTCTTCTCCCCCCTTCAATCTTCCCGCATTCCTCCCCCCGCCATCAGTGGAAGCTCATTGCACGCCTGTTCCCCACTCCAAGAGTTAGGGAGGTAAGCGTTTCACCTCGTCTCACCCTCCTTCCTACCTGCTACAATTTTTTTATTTTACTCCCATGCTCGTTATCAGCAAGAAAAGGTACATTTTGCTTTATCAGGAAATTCCGGTGCATTCGTCTTCCTCCCTCCGTCTCTTTTCTTTATTATTAAGACACCCGGTTTCGCCTTCCCTCTCTGCAGCGCCCCTCCTGGTCCACATGCGTGAAGGCTTCTTTTTCTCTTTAGTGTTCATGTAGCACTGCCGTTTGAGCTAGGCAGGAAGCCTCTACACAGAGTCGCACCACACACACACATGCCCACACGCGCACAGACACACACACACACACACACACACAGACACACACACACACACACACACACGCACACACACACACACGCACACACACACACACACACACACACACACGCACACACACACACACGCACACACACACACACACACACGCACGCACACACATGCACACACACCCACACACACACCCACCCACACCCCCTATCCGATTCCTGTTTTTCCTGTGCCCCAGCCTCCCCCCCCCCCAACGCCCTCGCTCTCCTTCTCTTCCGTCTTCCCCCCTTCTTTCCTCAGGAGATCAGCCTGCGCCTGGGAAGAAAGCTGCTGGACCGAGTGGCACCAGAAGCAGTCACCCTCGCTCTTGCACTTCCTCCCCCCTCCTCCCTCCCCGCCTCCCCCTCTCCCTCCATATCCCCCTCTTCCACCTCCTCTCTCCCCTCCTCCTCCTCCACCTTCTCCCCACTCTCCCCCTCCTCCTCCCTACCTTTCGGCCGCATCGCCATGTCAGCACCGCCACCATCAGCAGGACAGGTGGACGATCAGGATTGGCTGGATCCCCCTTCGTTGCTGTCGAAGCAGTCTCTCCCGCCACCACTAGGAGCAACAGCACCAGCAGAAGGGGCAGCAGGAGGAGCGGGTGAGGTGCAGCCGGCAGGGATGGTGGCCGGGGTGGAAGAGATTCTGCAGCGCCTGCTGGATGTGGGATTCTTGCAGGTGCGCGGGTGAACATAGTCCGGTGTTGGGGTTTATGGTAGGTGCTGGTGGCTGGTGGTGTAGGGTTATGGTCGGGTTATGGTGAGTAGTTGGTCAATTGCGTTTTACGTGTACGTACGTTACGCATTACGTTCACGCGTATGTTTGCGCTCCAAAATGGCTTTACGTTTGCGGGCAGCTTAAGAATGTCCGGGGTTGCCGTAGATATAGAAATCTATCAAGTCATGGGATACTCCTGTAACTACCACAAGTCGTCCAAGAGGAGTGATTCAAAAGCATTGCAGGGGGTTTGTTGGCGATTTTTACTTGCATGGTTGGATCATTCCACCAGTCAACCCATTGACCTTCCATCCACCTCCACACAATTGCAGGGCACGCGCGAAATCAGCCGTGATTTTAGCACTAGGCTTTATTATTAGCCCGCGTCAAAAGTTTCAAAGCTGCCCGCCAAAATGTACGCGTAATTATGCGTACGTAAATGTTACGTTACGTTTACGCGTAACATTACGTTTATGTAGGTGCTCTGGGTGTAATTGACCAACTAGAGAGGGGGGAGGGGGGTAGTGCACTTCAGGGGGGTGCCAGCCAGAGCGGAGGAGATTCTGCAACGGTTGCTGGATGTGGGATTCCTGCAGGTGGATGAAAATGGTCAGGGTGTGGGGTTTATGGTGGGTGGCGGGTCGTGGGTTGTGGGTGGTGGGTGGTGGGTCGAGGGCGGTGGGTGGGGAGTGGGGGGGTAATGGGTGGGTGTGGATGGGGAGTGGGGGGTGCTGCTGGGTCGACTCAAAGGTCGTCTAAAAGCTCGAATCGAAGCTGCTGCTGGGTACTGTTCGTGGTGGTGCTAATATTCACTTTGTGTGCTATTCGTGCTCGATCCCTGGGCTTGGCAGGCGTATTCAGTGGAGTGGTTGCCTGCAAGCGACGCGGGATGGGATGTGACCCACCGTGGCAGAATGCAAGTGAAGGTGCAGGTGCGTTATGCAAAATCAGGTAAGTTCTTTGCTTATCAGGTGAGTTCTGTGCTTACTTTTCAGGTGAGTTGCGCTTATCAGGTGAGTTTTATTGTATTTGTATACTCTGACATTCCTTTTTATCCTTCCCATTTGCTCTCACTCCCTCCCTCACTCCCTCCCTCACTCCCTCCATCACTCCCTCCTTCACTCCCAGGGTCCTGCGAATCTGGATGGTGCGGTGCTGCTGAGAGCTGAGAGCAACTATGGCCAGGTGCGTTGGGTGTTGCAGTGGTGCTCTGTGCCCTTATGGGTGTCAGGACTCATGGGTGCAACAGGGAGCCATGGGCGTGCGATCTGCGAAGTGTTGTACGTTTCATGGGTGTTGCTGGGAGCAGCGATGCTCAGGTGTGGCTCCATGATCCATCTGTGGTGCATGTGACTATGTCATCGGTATGCCTCTATGTCATCGGTATGCCTCTATGTCATCGGTATGCCTCTATGTCATCGGTATGCCTCTATGTCATCGGTATGCCTCTATGTCATCGGTATGCCTCTATGTCATCGGTATGCCTCTCCGCAGTCGAATGCTGCTCTGTGCCCTTGTGTGCGTGTCATGAGTGCCCTTGTGCGTGTCATGAGTGCCCTTGTGCGTGTCATGAGTGCCCTTGTGCGTGTCATGAGTGCCCTTGTGCGTGTCATGAGTGCCCTTGTGCGTGTCATGAGTGCCCTTGTGCGCGTCATGAGTGCCCTTGTGTGCGTGTCATGAGTGCCCTTGTGCGTGTCATGAGTGCCCTTGTGCGTGTCATGAGTGCCCTTGTGCGTGTCATGAGTGCCCTTGTGCGTGTCATGAGTGCCCTTGTGCGTGTCATGAGTGCCCTTGTGCGTGTCATGAGTGCCCTTGTGCGTGTCATGAGTGCCCTTGTGCGTGTCATGAGTGCCCTTGTGCGTGTCATGAGTGCCCTTGTGCGTGTCATGAGTGCCCTTGTGCGCGTCATGAGTGCCCTTGTGTGCGTGTCATGAGTGCCCTTGTGCGTGTCATGAGTGCCCTTGTGCGTGTCATGAGTGCCCTTGTGCGTGTCATGAGTGCCCTTGTGCGTGTCATGAGTGCCCTTGTGCGTGTCATGAGTGCCCTTGTGCGTGTCATGAGTGCCCTTGTGCGTGTCATGAGTGCCCTTGTGTGTGTCATGAGTGCCCTTGTGCGTGTCATGAGTGCCCTTGTGCGTGTCATGAGTGCCCTTGTGTGTGTCATGAGTGCCCTTGTGCGTGTCATGAGTGCCCTTGTGTGTGTCATGAGTGCCCTTGTGCGTGTCATGAGTGCCCTTGTGCGTGTCATGAGTGCCCTTGTGTGTGTCATGAGTGCCCTTGTGTGTGTCATGAGTGCCCTTGTGTGTGTCATGAGTGCCCTTGTGTGTGTCATGAGTGCCCTTGTGTGTGTCATGAGTGCCCTTGTGCGTGTCATGAGTGCCGCCTAGAGCTGAGAGGAACAATGCTCACTCGGTGAGTTGTCCTGACCTGATGGCATCATTGGTCCTGCACCTCTCCAGTGCGTTAAATAGCCCCACTCGCCCCTTCCTCTTCTCACGCTCATCGCTTTTCCCTTCCCTAAGGCACATCTGATCTAAACCCCGCTTCCCAATCCACCTCTTTCCATCTCAACCCTCAGCGCTACTCCTGCTCGCTCCCCACTCTCTCCCCCCCCCTCCTCCCCAACCCTCTCCTTCCCCAGCGCTTCTCCTTCTCTATCACCTGAGCCTTCTTTGAGCGGAGTTGGTTTTTGAGAATTCTAAAAAGCCCACTTACCTATCATCCGAGCCTTCTTTCAGCGGGTGGGGGTGCAGGGAGCTCTTCCCATTCCACTTTCCCCCTTCCATCCCCCCCTCCCCTCCTTCCCCCTTCCATCTTTCCCCCCTACCCCCCCTCCCTCCCCTCTTTCCCCCTTCCATCTTCCCCCCCCCCACCCCCCTCTTTCCCCCTTCCTTTCCCCCCCCCCCCACCCCCCCTCCCCTCTTTCCCCCTTCCATCTTCCCCCCCGACCCCCCCCCCCCCTTTCCCCCTTCCATCTTCACCTCCCCGAACCCCCCTCCCCTCTTTCCCCCTTCCATCTTTCCCCCCCCCAACCCCCATCCCCTCTTTCCCCCTTCCATCTTCCCCCCTCTCCCCCCCCCGTGCCCGCCCTCCCCTCTTTCCCCCCAGCGCTATTCGTCCTCTATCATCCGAGCCTTCTTTGAGCGAATGGGGGTTCAGGCTGACGTGGATGAATACTTCTACAGGGAAAAGCTTAATGTATGTGTAATGTAATAAGTACGATATCTGAATGCTTGTGCAAACAGCACTTTGTACAGTGATAAGAAGTGGGATTGTTTGTAGATCATAACTGCTTCCTACCCTCCATACTTGTCTTCATTTCCCATGCCTCTCTATTCTCATTCCCTTCCCGCCTTCCCTCCCATTCCCTCCCTTCCCTCCTGCCCTCCCCTTCCATCCCATTCCCTGCGAGCAGTACAAGCCCAAGTCCCTTCTCGAGCAAGCAGTGCTTTCTCTTGGCGACCCACTTGTCCCTGTGAGCATGTCCACCGCTCTTCGTTGCCCAGCAGCCTCGCCTTCTCCTCCTGACTCTTACCCTGGTGTATTTTGAGTCGAATCAAAATACACCTGTGAGCATGTCCACTGCTCTTTGTTGCCTAACAGCCTCTCCTCCTCACTCTTAACCTGATAAGCCACTGTTTTTCCACTCACAGTGTTCCATCAATGATCATGAAGGCTGTGTGCATGCGTTGCCCTCAAACCGCTAATTCTTAGAGATGTGGATTTCTGATTCTCGAATCGGTGGAGCTCTTGCAGGTGGTGAATCAGTTCGATGTGGATGAAATTGTCGAGACGTGGGATCTCCGTTTGCCAGCTCAGCAGCAGTGACTCGACGAATGTCTTGTTACCTGCACCCCTGAGGATTCCTTGCGACGTCAGCTCAGCAAGTACTCAAAGTTCAGGCAGCTGCCGACCATTGCAGCTGGTCTGGTCTGGTGGTCGCAGCTTGGAAAGGAAATTGTCATATGGAAACCAATTTGGTAACTTTGCTAGCTAAGCTGTCTCCAGTACCAATTATGGTTGGATCTTGCAACAACATAATTCGGCACTTCTATTACTAAAACAAATGTAATAAATGTGTTTGCATGTCAAGAACGGCTAGTGCCTGGCCCCAGCTGTGCTGTATGCCCCGATAGATAAGGCCCAGTGAACAGCCTCTGAGTGCGACTAGGAGGAAAGAGACAGCTCTGCCTGCTGCTATGATGGCAGCCTTGATGAGGGGTAGGATAAGATTCGACAGCTCCAATGCCACCACCACCACCAGCTCCCTGATGGAAATATGATGAAATGATGGATTCAAAAGCACGAGGGAAAAGTGAAGAATGGCAGCTTGCAGCACCTGCCCTGTCAACCCAAGGGAAAGATGAGACGGGTTTTGAGTGCCCAACACCCCATGCCCAACACCCCATTCCCTAGCCAACTCCATGCCCCATCCCATCTAGAAGCGCCCCACCCCTCTCACCATCCTCTCAGTTGTCCCCAAAGCAGAGCAGCATGCGTGTTGTGTTGACGAGTGTGGCATGGGCAGAAGTGAGATAGGACGGGTGATGGAATGACTGTGGCGTGTGGTGGAAAATGGGTGCATGAATGCCATTCCCACTCCATGCCATACCATTGTCAGAGCATGTCATATCAACACCTCTACATGTCATGTGATCACCACCACAGGCCATACCTCTATCAATCCATGCTACCATGTCATCTCGTTTGTCTATCTCGCTGTCATCTCGTTTCTCATTTGGTTGCACGTCTTTTGGGGGGGGGGGGAGAGGGAAGCAATGATGCATGGAATAGAGTTTCTGGAAGGAAGACGAAGGCAAACTGCCGATGGGAAATCGATACTGGAAAGTTGACTTAGAAAACAACAACGGGGACCGGACTTGAAGATTGACGATGAAAACTTGACTGGAAAAAGCTGGTGGGAAGTTGACATAAAAAGTTGACCATGGGGAATTGACTGGGGGATTGACAATGGGACATCAACTTGGAAGTTGAGAGTGGGACAGTGACCGGAAAAACGGCTGAGGGGAAGTTGAATGTTAAACTGACTATGGGGAAGCGACTGAATCTGGAATTGGTCATGGGAGAGTTGACTGTGATGCTGACCATGGGAGGTGGGGTGAAGTTTGCCACAGGAAGTAGAAAGATCATGAAAAGTTGAATGTGGAACTGAACATGGGAAGGGAAGTAGACTGTAAAACAGGCCACGGAAGTTGACTGAAACTGATCATGGGAAGTAGTTCATACAACAGACTATGAGACGTTGACTATAAAAGTGAACACGGGAAATTGAATGAAAAGATGCTATAGGGAATTGACTACTTTGCCATTGAAAGTTGAATTCCAAAAAGGACACCAAGAATATGAGAAATTTTTTTGTAGTAAAAAATTTACAGATTGTGATTCGACTAGAAGAGGAGTTTGCTGTAAAGGAGACAAACTCCTTCATCTATCGGCAGGTCTTTCAGACCTGCCACCTAGTCTCATTTGCATTTTTCTGTTCCAACTTGCCCACCCTTCCCTCCCATGCTTTGATAACTAGCATGGCCTGCTCACCCTTGTTCCCTTGCCATGTATTTGCCCTATCTAGTGTGCTGTACTATGGAGCTATGATATGCTATGACGACTGCACTGCACACTCCTCTGAGGTCGTGTCACAATTGATTGGTAACGTGAACGTGAGAGATCGACTGAAACGTGCAATGGCTGACTGAACCTGATTAGGGGAACTTTGGAAGCTGACTATGAAACTGACCGTGGTAAGTTGAATGTGAGACTGAACATGGGAGGTGAACATGGAAAATTTACTGAAACTTGGAATAGAAATTTGACTGACACTGAGCATGGGAATTTGACTGAATGAAACTGAACATAGGATGTCGACTGTGAAAGCGACCACAAAAGTTGCCTGATACTGGTCATAGGAAATCGACTGAGAAATTGACCATGAATGTGAAACTGACCATGGTTGACTCTGAAATATAGCATAGAAATTGATTGAAACAGGTCATGGGAAGTTGATTGAAGCGGATCATGGGAAGTTGACTAAAGATTTGACCATGCAAAGTGGAAAATGAAACCGATCATGGGAAACTGACTGTCTGAACATGGGAAGTTGAATGTGAAACTGGAAACTGAATCTAAGAGCTTGACTGTGAAAGTGAACATGAAAAGTAGACTACACAACTGACCATGAAGAGTTGAATGTGAAACTGAACATGGGAGGTTGACTGAAATTGACCATTGGGGGTTCACTGAAACCTGCCATAGTTGACCGCAACTAATCATTTGAAGTTGATTGAAACTGATATTTGGAAGTGACTGAAACTGATCATGGAAACTTGGCCTGGGTTTAGAAAACGGGAACTGACTTGGAGCTTTGACCAGTGGGAAGTTGAATGGGAATCTGACAACCACTGATTGACCGGAGAATTGGCAATGTGAGCTTGACTGGAATGCAAAGGCTCTGGACATTGGCTGGATGGAATAATGGCGAGAAGCAATTAGCTGGAGAAACGACAATGGGAAGTGGGTTGGAGAAACGGCGACAAGATGTTTGCTGTGAGTCAGGCAATGGGAAAATGACTGGGAAATGACAATGGGGAAAATGGGTGGGAAATTACAGATGGGAAAATGACTGGAAAACGACAGATGGGAAAATGGATGGGAAATGACAACTGAGAAAAACGCTGGGGAATTACAGATGGGAAAATGACTGGGAAATGACAACGGGGAAAATGGATGGTAAATGACAGATGGGAAAATGGCTGGGAAAGGGCAGATGGGGAAATGACTGGGAATCGACAGATGGGGAAAACGGCAATGGGATGGCTGCCTTAGCAACTGCTGCATCTCCAACTTGTGAATCAACTCACACAGCTCCACGCCTTCCCCTCCTCCCTGCTCCACTCCTCCCTCCCTCTCCCCCACCCTTCCACTCACACCTTTAATTCTCCCACACTCACTTGACAAGGCAAGTTACCACAAATGGTCTTTATAATTTGAATCGTTACAAGATGCTAACACCACACTACACTACACTAGAAACAGAATAATTAGCAATAATTAGAGAATCTAGTGTGATGCAGAAGATCCAGTGCCGTCCCAATTCCTCCACATCCCATTGACCACACTCCAGCAGTCCACATTCTTCCGCTTACCCTCCCATCTCTCCCACAACACCCTGCGAGCAGGGTGGAAAAAGGGGTACGACCCTCCATTCGCCTGCCACTAGCCCCCACCCCACCAAACAAGCCCCATGCCCATCTAACCGCTTCAAATGACCTTCCACCCTCCATGACCGACTGCTGAGGCACTGGATCCACCTGATGCTTTGCACCTTCACTAGACTGCCACGGCTGCTGCTGCTAATCTTGACGCAGGCTTGGGAATTCCAGACGCATGCTTGGGAATCACAGACGCAGGCTTGGGAACTCCAGACGCAGGCTTGGGAATTCCAGGCGCTGGCTTGGGAATTCCAGACGCATTTTTTGCCGCTGCACTCACCACACCCTTGGCCGCCGCCTTCCCACTGCTGCTCAGTTCAGCCGTCACCCCTGCAGCAGGTGCAGCCTTCACAGCTGCACTCTTCCCAGCACCGATCTTAACAACAGCAGCTTTCACAACAGCAGCAGCCTTTGCTGCACCATCCTTCCCAGCAGGTTTCGCAGGCGTTGCCTTACCTGGCGTCGCCTTAGCTTGCGTCGCCTTAGCTGGCGTCGCCTTAGCTTGAGTCGCCTTAGCTGGCGTCGCCTTAGCTTGCGTCGCCTTAGCTGGCGTCGCCGCCTCAGCTTGCGTCGCCTTAGCTGGCGTCGCCTTAGCTTGTGTCGCCTTAGCTGGTGCAGCAGCAGACGTCGCCTTAGCTTGTGTCGCCTTAGCAGGCGCGGCCTTGACTGCTGCAGCTGCCGCCGTCGCCTGGCCGCTCTTCACCGCGTTGGACCTCACACCAGCGGCGCTTCCCATGACATCCCTGGGCCTGGGCTTCTTGCTCGCCGGCTTCGCCACGGCCTTGGGTCGCAGGGGGGAGAAGCCCAGCGAGGCACGAGGGGAGCGGTGCTTCGGCTCCTCCTCCTCTTCATGGAAGCGGCCCACGCGAAACGCAATCAAGGTCAGCCACACCTTTCGCGCTGTGCTCATGCTCGTGGATGCGCTGTTGGCGCGTCTGGAGTAGCTGCTACTGCTGCAGATCGCCGCGCTGTCGAGCGCAGGGCTGGCAGATCCCAGGTGAGAAGCGGCGATAAGAGAGGCCATCGTGGGAGCGAGATTCTAAGCAGAAAAGCCGGTCGAAGTCTTAAGAAGCGAGAAGCAGAAGCAGATTGCTGGAGAACTAAGAACGAACGGGAGTGTTGTGGTGGTAGGAATGAGGAAGAGGTTTGGCTTTGTAGTGTTGGGAGGGAGGAGAGTCCCAAGGCGGAGGGAGGTGGGTGGAGAAAAGCAACCCTGGTGCTCAGGGCGGAAGCAAGCCAGCTGCCCGAAAACAAAAACGCATTGCGTAAGCGCGGAATCCACGGACAGCTCAACCAGCCCGAGATAAAAGTTTCCACTTCCATTCCGTAAACCTGATCTGTATTGTGGTTGGAGCCGAAATTACGGAATGCTCCAGCAGCCAATGAAATGCTGCCCGATGTTTTTGCGTCACCTCAAAGTTACCTGCCAGATAATGCCGCGGCTCGTATGTCTTCGATCACGGAGTTTTTGGGCAGCGAGCTCATGAGGTGTCGCTGCCCAAAACGAGTTCGCGTCGCGTTTCCGTCTAGTCCGCCCGCTGCCCGAGGAGAACGAAGCGGTTCGTCTACGAAAAGGAGGTCTCCTGCGGTTGACTGGACGACGAGGAAAATGAGCGAACTTGCTGTCGTGAGATGAGCTCGAGGCTGCTAAAGGGTGGTTCTGTTCCGTCATCGTAAGCAGACGGGAATATCAGGTTCACAGCGGCGGGCGACCGCAATTGAATCGGAACACATCGCATCCCAAGGTGACGGCGGGACTGTTACAGCTCACTGGTTACAAGCTCTGATAAGCATCACAAGCTTACATGAACTGTTACAGCTTTCATGTTACATATCGCGCTGCCACCAACGAGCGTCGCGAGCCA